AAGAATGATCTCAAGTAACCTGAAAGGCAGGGTGTCTCCAAACTGATAAATGTTATTTTCTTTGAGAATTTTCAATAATTTTGGTTTTGTTTTCTTCATCTCTAGTAGACAGACCTGACGACTTGGCTGCTTGAGTTGTAACATTTGAAAAATGATAATGAAATGGTAGTATACCTTGCACAACAAAGACAGAGGGCGTTGACCATTTTTAAATGGTGCAAAAGTATTTATCACCAATTGCCAACAGTCATACTCAGTAATTTCCTCCCTGACATTGCTCTACTCAGATATCAGTAACAGAATGTTGTAAACTTCAGAACTCATTATGAATCTGATAATAATACAATATAAGAAAAATAAATGCTACTTTCCTAACCATAGTAAAAAGTATTTTTAAAAATGTAGTTCTTTTAAACATTTGCTTATCTTTTCCATCTCCTACCCGTCCCCCTACATGACTATTAACTAAGTCAGAGTGAACCCTCCTATTTATTGCTTCCTGCTCAGCTGAATCAACACTTCCGGAGGCTGTGACTAATAAAAGCCACAGCCCATGGTTATACTTGACTTTTGAAAGTCCTGGTTAGCTTTAAGGACATAATTATGAATACCTATACTTATAGAATGAGTAAGTAGATTTGAGCTATAAATTGCACCAAACACACACACACACACACACACACACACACACACACACACAAAACTCCCCCAAACCAAAAATAAGTCAGACCTCATTAATGATTATTAGCTTAGTTGGCTTCTATTTTTTTTTTTTATTATATTGACTGATCACTTAGGTATTTTGAGATCATGATAGTGTACATTAAAAGCAAACTATATTTCACTTTTGGTGCCCCACCTTGTTTTGCTTATGGGCCCCATGCCCATCAGCCTCATTTCCCTTGGCTTAGTGCCCGCCCCTGTCCAATAAGTAGGGCAGGGTCATTGGTGTGCATTGCCACTTGGAGGAGGCCATATGCCTAGCAGAGGTGATAGATGGGTTTAAAGAATTCTCCCAATCACAGCCAAGCGTTTTGAGAATGAAGTCTTCAACTTTTTGTTTTCAATTTCCCATATTCCCTTAGCTTCTCAGCTCCTTAAACTCTTGCTTCTGTCTCTAAGACTCAATCGAACCTCTCAAAAAATGCTTACATGTGTACTAATTGCCAAATATACAATACTTTTTTCTGTCCTTGTTTCTGAAGTTTTTTAAGCAGTTGGTATAGTTGACAATATTCTCTTCCTTAGACTTCTTTGTTGATTTCCATTCTGACTCTTCAGTTGCTCTTCAGTCTCTTCTCTCTCCTGTTTTTTCTGTATTGCTTACCATTGCCTACTTCTCCATAGCCTTTTACCATGCTATAGTTTTTACCATATTAAAGGGAAATTCTTTCCCCAATACTTGTAATCCCTCTTAGAGATCACCCTATATATTTTCCCTCTTCATTATTAAACCCCCAAAAGGAATATAAACATTATTTACACTTTTTTCATTGCTCATTTACTTTAAAGCTTCCATAATGAGGCTTATATCTCATCAATCTAGTGAAATGGCTCCTGCAAAGTCATTAATAACTTTCTAACTCTTTAAAACTTTACCTTATTTAACTTCTTTTTCCAGCACTTGACCATATTGATCACTTGCTTCATGAAACTCTCTCTTTCTTGATTTCCATGACATTGCTCTTTGCTAATTCTCTTCTTGCCTTTTAGGAGATTGTTTTTCAGGATTCTCCTGTTCCATTGTCAACCCATTAAACACTGTTTCTAATCACCTTGATCCTTTTCTCCTCTCATCCTATGAGCAATCCTAGTGTAAGATTACCCTTTTCCATGCCTTAACCACACTATGCATGCTGGGGACCAGTTTATAGAAGTCAGCACCTTATGATTTTGCTTCCTGTTACACACTTTTGCTGTTGACTACTGGTTTTCTGAGAGCTTTGGGATATTGCTCTGGAAGAGATATAGAGATGTCCCTCATAGCAGAGCTCTTAGTCGATGCAGAATTTGCTTCAGGAAACCCTTTTTCTTACTCTCAAAGGCCATGACACTTTATGGCTATTTCCTCCCTCAACTTTCTGGGCCCCTTTTCTCTCTTTGGAAATATAACTCTCTTTGGTGCTCCTATGGATTAAACTTTGAAGAAAATAAAAAAAAACTCTTTTTTTTTTTTTAAGGCAAGGAAATATCAGATCTCTAGGACACACTGCTTGGTTTCTGGGGTAGCTGTGTGAGGTATAGGAGGGAAAAATATTGGTCTTATTGGATGTTCTAACACCACTTCAAACATATCCACCAAGTTGGTAAATACTATCACCATTTAACCAGGTATCAGGCCAAAATCCTGGATGTCCTCTTGTGCTCCCTGTCATCCTCATTTCCTTTATTCCTTTATTATAAAATCCATGATTCTATTGTCTAAATGTTCCTAAAAACTACCTTCTCTGCATGTCCTTGGTGTCATTGACTTCTTTCAGGCCCATTTATGTCTTTCTCCTGCTATCCTGCATTATTGTATCCTCCAGTTTGTTTCCCATACTTGTCAGAGGGACAGTTAACTATAGGGTTGGTTGCATTGGTCTATTACTTATAAAATCTTTGGATGATTGGCTTTCCAAAGATTTTATGAGAAGTTCAACCTTCTCAGTGTGTTGAGCAAAGCTTTTCATACTCCTCCTTGTTCTTTTGCCTCATCTCTTGCCATACTCTGCACCTACCATACACATTATTATCTCTGGCCTCTGTATCCTCTTGTATATGTTGGTCCTTCTGTGTGTAATGCTTCATCCTCCCTCCATCCTTTCCCACATGTTGCCTTCTCCAACATCTGTTCATTACGAAAATGCAAATTAAAACTGCAATGAGATACTTTGACATATCTTCCAGAATGACTAAAACTAAAAAGACTTACAATAGCAAGTATTGGCCAGGATGTGGAATAGCTAGAACTCTCATACATTGCTGGCAAGGGAATAAATTGGCTCAACCACTTTGGAGAACTATTATCTATGAAAGCTAAACATATTCAAAACCATTTAAGAATCAGTACCTGTTATAGATGTAGTTAGCTCCAACTCCATATTCCCAAAGCATTTTACTAGGGCATTTGTCATGCTTTATTGTACTTGCTTATTTTCTTATCTGTTTTTCCCACTAGGCTGAGTTATCTTTTATAAGAAAGATCTGTTTTTATGTCTATATTCTGAGAGACCTGAGCAGGTCTGGGACATAATGGGTGTTCAATAAATGCTTGTTGAACGAATTACATATGTACTTAGAAGAAACAAAAATAAATACTTGATGGCAGTTCTAAGTCAAATTTATTAATCTATGAACTTCTATGATTTTTTTTTCTGACAGGAAATGAAAACTATGTAGCTTGATGTATTTCTCCTTTTGAATCAATTTTTAGAAAACTCTACAACTTTAAAAATCAGACTTTTAAATATCAACACCAACCTACTTTTATATAAAATGAGAAAATATGGCTGGGCGAGGTGGCTCACGCCTGTAATCCTAGCACTCTGGGAGGCCGAGGAGGGTGGATTGCTCGAGGTCAGGAGTTCAAAACCAGCCTGAGCAAGAGCGAAACCCCGTCCCTACTATAAATAGAAAGAAATTAATTGGGCAACTAATATATATAGAAAAAAAAATTAGCCGGGCATGGTGACACATGCCTGTAGTCCCAGCTCCTCGGGAGGCTGAGGCAGTAGGATTGCTTGAGCCTAGGAGTTTGAGGTTGCTGTGAGCTAGGCTGACGCACGGCACTCCCTCTAGCCTGGGCAACAAAGTGAAACTCAGTCTCAAAAAAATAAATAAAATAAAATAAAATAAAGAAAAGAAAATGAAGAAATAAAATTAAATGAAATCAGCACATCATACCACTCACCTAGCAGAAACGGTCAGAGATAGTAAAGTGGTAGTAAGAGCCACCGAAAGATAGGTCAGCCTAGGTCAGTGAAAGTTTACAGAAGCATCAAGGGAGTAAAAATCATTTTAGATTCACATCTGATGACTTCATCTGGCTTAAAATAGAAACTGAAGTACAAAATGAGACATTGGCACTCAAACACAGTAAATAAAGATCATCTAAGGAAACAAAGGGAAGACATTTTACTAGCTACCTTAAAGGAGTCATATGATGCAAAAGAGTGCTGGATATACTTCCACATTTTCTGGAAACTAAGGCAAAAGGGAAGAAGCAATTAAATTATATTGCTTTCAATTTCTTTTGAAAGGATATGTAATTTTACACACTCAAACACAATCATCCAGCTCAGGAATGACAGAACCAGAATCTGAACTTACCTGTCCCCAGAGCTGGTGTTCCATCAGCATTCCAGGCGGCCTCCTTATGGTGGGACATGCTTTGTGCTTCCACACCAGCCAGGGTGCATCCAGTCTAGGGAGCAGGCTGCCTGCCAGAATAGGTAGGTTGGTTATGCAAATTCTATACTTTTTCCATGACAAAGAGTTTATTCGGGAAAATTTAAGGTAATTTCATAGATGGATAGTAAAGAATATCAAGTTTACTTAAACTACTTTCTTAACATTTGATGAAAGAGTAGAGTCATAAAATTTGTGGTTCTTTTGCACTAACTTTTCTAAGGGTGAATGAAGGATAAAAGATCTTTGATAAATGAATGGGTAAAAGACCTTTTTACGTGAGTGTGCTGAGGAAGGACATTTCTCTCTCTAGTCAGTGCATCTGTATTCTAAAAAGAGTAAAGGAAAGGGAAAGAAATGTTTGGCAAGAGATATGTGTGTGTTTTTTTTAAATCGCATTCTTCCTTATGGAAAATTACTTTATACCCAGGTCACTGATGTTTTGCCCAAATCATTCTTCTGCTTCTGAAAGGTTGTGATTAATAAGGTAGTTCAGATACTGAGTCAGATCTCTTTTATTCCATCCCATTTCCTCATTCTTTTTATACAGCACCCTGCACTGCACTCGATGGTAGCTGGAGTACTTTTTGACATCACCTAAATATAAATAAAGTGAGAAAAGGAGGACAGTGAAGCAACCCCAAGTTCTTTCCTGATACAAAAAGTACAGGCAGACTGACTGCAAAGCAGGCTCTACCAGGTAAATATATTAGACAACTTGTTTTCTACTTTGCTGTCATCTGCATTCTCCTTCAGAAGAATGCCCTGTTATGCTTGAAGCCCAAGTTATACATAGGAACAAAGTGTCTGTGTAATGTACCAGTGGCTTAATGCCATGGGGATGGAATGGGAAGGAAAGGAAAAATATACCTTTCTATATAATCCTGTTTTCTCACTGTTAAGAATCAAAGAGAATTGTCTAGTTTAACTGAATTAAACTAATTCTCTAATAAATTAGGTAAAAGTGCTATATTGATAACCCCATACCAAACTTGATTTTTAAATACCACCTGTAAAAATATCTTACCAATTTAAGCTCTTAATCTTACTCTAAATTTATTGCATAATTTTGGAATTTATGATTGGTAATTCATTTGTTCATTTGTGAAAATCATATGTAAAACATGGAATTACATTTACTATTTTAAAAAGCTAAGAAAACATGACATCTATTAATCTCTGCTAATTCCACTAAAATATTAGTAAAGGGGATTTTTTTTAAAGCATACACTCAAAGGACAAGGAGAATGAAAGAGAAGATAGTTGTACCAAAATTTGGGGAGTGTGAAAACAAATGGTGAGCACAAAGAAAGCCAAAGACTGGGAACAGTGAGGAATGCCCATAAGCAGGTAAAATTTTGCTGCAGAACTTCAGAAAAATGCAGAAATTAGATTTGAAAGTGGATTTGGTTGCAACTCCAAAAAATAGTCAGTTAGGCTTCTAGATGCCCTTCCCACGTTCCTTACAAAATAACTACTTCTCCCTCAACCTGGCAGAAGATGGGAGGTGATATTCTGAATCAGTAGGGCTCTGGCCTTAAGGGACAGCAAACACAGCTGTGGGTAGAGCACTGGCCTGGAAACAAGAAAATTCTATATATTATATGGATAGATTCCTTCCTCCCTGAAGCACATCTTTTTCTACTCAACTCCAAGAAAATGTAGACAAACAAGCTTATTTACCCAATGCAGGAATTTAAAGGATTTCTCTTCTGGGGAGTGATCAACCTAAGAGAAAAATGAACAGACACTGATGATTTGGGATTCTCAACAAATGGCTGGGTCTCTGTCCAGTCAGTGAAGTTCAAAAGCCCTATTTACTCACCATCCATTTTTCAGTGTTTATCCTTAAGAATGAACAGAGATCCAAGGGTCACCAGACAATAGCAAAAACTATTTAGCATAAAATAGAGTGTGTAGAACAGAAGAAAAAAAAGTTGGCAGGTATGCAAACAATGCGGGGAGCAGAAAACACTAGAAAATTATCATTAAAATTTGAGAGGTAAGAGAAAATATTACATACATTAAAAGAAACATTCAATATACTGTGTTCTTATAATTAAAAAAAATAAAAATAAAAGAAACATTCAGAGAACAACAAAACCTTAAAAATTAAGTATATGATAGCAGAAATGAAAAATTTAATAGAAGAGATAGAATATCAAGATGGGGAAATCTTTCAGAATGGAAATAAAAAATAATAGAGATGGGGAAAAGGAGAAAAGAGACAAGAAAACTAGCCAAAGGAAAAGAGTTTCAGAAATAGAGAGGAAGGAAAACAAAAGGGAGAAAATTAAGAAATAAGCAAAATTTCCAGAACAGAAAGAGTTGAATTCCCATATTAAGTGCCTAGCACATTGAATGAGAGAAAAACATGGGATGACAAAGAGTTATTAATTTTCTGACTTCTGAGAACAAAGTGAAAATGCTAAACCCTCCAGAAAGGAAAAGAAAACAACCAAAAAACAGGTCACATACAAAGTTTCAGGAATCAGAATGGCATTAGGTTTCTCAACAGCAACATTAGAAGCTTAAAGAAAACACGGAACAATTACCCTACAATGCTGAGGGAAAATGATTACCAATCCAGAATTCTATATTTAGATTTTAATCAATTGTGAAAGTCAGGTATAAAAGCTCTCAAAAAAATTAATTCACATGCACCTTTTTTTTTTTTTTAACTACTAGAGGAAGTATTCCACTAAATGAAGGAGTAAAATGGGAAAGTTAACACCATATTATCCATATACCCTAAGGCACCCAAGGCAGAAGAGAGAGGAAGGGAATTCCCAGGCTGGTGGTAAAGAGACAGTCCAGGATGACAGCAGAGAAGCAGGTCAAGAGAAACACTAATTCAGACTGGCACAAGAGGGTTAAGGAGGCCAAGCAGGATGTCACTAAGAAGTAAAGAAACTGACATTTTACCAGGTGCCTTTGACAGTTTTGAGAGAGTATTTAAAGTTCTGTTTGAAAGTCTGGATATGAATAAGAGATAGGTATATACAGAATACACAGCAAGTGAAAAAAGAAGCTATTAATAGCTACAGGGACAACAAAAATAAGCAAGCAAAGAAATATAATCACATTATCCTACATGTTCAGCTGGAAATAATAGTCACATAATAATATAATGCAAACAGTGAATATTGATTTAACTATAATTATGATATTAATGGGATTAGATATTGGATTAAGGGAAGACTGTGTGTATGTGCTTGATGTGCAAGAGAGTTAAATACTCATCTTTCATTGGAAAAAACCAATAATATTTAAGATAAAAAAATTAAGAAACAGTATAAGCACATTATTTAGAAATATGGAGCTAACTACCAGAATAAAAACAATAAAGTAAAAAACTAGTCTCTTTCAAATCAAAATTAATGTAAACATTTACTACTTTCCCTAGGGAGTGTAAATTTGGAAGGGAAGAGGTAACATTTAGAATTTTGATTCTTAAAAAAAAAATTGTTGAATTCTTTGAGTTTTAAAACTATGTACAATTTTCAGTTTCTGGTTTAGTATATAAAAAGTTTGGAAGCTGCTACCCTATGTTCCAGTAAAAAACTGAACAAACTGCAAAATCAACAACTTGTGTTAGATCCATAAGAGAGGTAACGTCACAGGGCAAACCTCTGCTCCAAAATTGCCAAAACTTCGAAGCAACCAAAGGGCACTTTAGTAGGTGAATGGATAAATAAACTATGGTAAATCCAGATAATGGAATATTATTCAGTGCTAAAAAGAATTGAGCTTTCAAGCCATGAAAAGACATGAAGAAACCTTAAATACATACTGCTAAGTGAAAGAAACCAATCTGGAAAGGCTATGTACTATATGATTCTAACTACATGACATTCTAGAAAAGGTAAAATTACAGAGATAGCAAAAATCTCAGTGGTTGTCAAGGTTTAGTGGGGAGGGAGAGACGAATAGGCAGAACACACAGGATTTTTAGGAAAGTGACACTACTCTGTAAGATACTATAATGGTGGATACATGGACATTATACATTTGTCTAAACCCATAGAATGTAGAACACTGAGAGTGAACCCTAATGTAAACTACGGATGTTGAATGATAATGATGTGCCAATGTAGGTTATCAATGGTAACAAATGTACCATTCTATTGGGGATGTTGATAGTGGGGAAGGCTATGCTTGTGGGAACAGGGGTATAAGGGAAATCTCTACCTTCCTTTCTATTCTGCTGTGAGCCTAAAACCACTTTAAGAAATAGTATTATTTTTTTAAAACTATATACAAGTATAACGGGTACAAATTTAAAAATCATGCAGAAAATTAGAAAATATTTGAGAACTGTAGGATCTCAGTGTCGGAAAAGATCATTCATCAGTAAGTCATTCATCCAGCGACTTTCAAACTTTTTGGACCACTACTCATCATTAGAATATATTTCATATAGCAACTTAGGACAAACACACACAAACACACTATCCTCTTCCCTCCTCCCACACAACCATAATATATATTTAATGAAACAGTGCTTAGGCTTACTATTTGTAATGTGCTGATACTTTTTTTAAACATTTTTTCCTCTATATTTTAAAAAAATGTCTTGGATTGTGACTCATTAATTAATTTAGTGAACTACAATTTGAAAAACACTAGTCCAACCATTTGATATTTTGGACCTAAGCCCTCACAGAAAACTTCCTGAATCCCACTCAGTACTGATCTTTGGCCAATTGCTCCAATAAGATTCCTGAGGTAGTTTGGGGATGGGCAAGATCCAATGGAATCATCTGACATTGGACCAATATTCTTCAAGTCCTCTAGGACCAACCCTTGAGGGTGCACTATGTCTCAATGAATGAAATAGTATTCTGGGTCCTACAGTGATATAAATATTTTTATCAACACTCTTGCACATATAGGATACTCAAATAAATACTTGCTGATTTGGCTTGAAGTCAAAAAAGCTCACTAAAACCTCATCATAAGCAGGCATCTATTCTCCTCCCTGCTTCTCTGGCTGTTTAAATAGAGCTGAATGGTATGTATTTGTGTTCCCATTTGACCTGGTAGAGATTGTTCCATTGCATCTTGAAGGGTTCAATGCTCAGAATGGTTCTAAAGCTCCATCACTGGTGCTGTTCTTTTTAAGGGTATTCATACATCATTGCTCATTCAAGCACATTCAACTTCATTCACAGGGGATGGACAATGGCAGACCAGCCATGCAGGATTTTTTGTTAAGCACACCCAAAGGATGTCCATTTCAGACATCTTAATGGTCGAGATCCTCACAAAAGAATGAAAAGCATTTGAAAACAGAAAACACAGAAGCACAGAAGAGTTTGGTTTAGTGAAAATATAGGCTCTGGAAACTCTGCTCCATTTCTTTTAATTATTTTAATTTTCCTACTTCAAATATAACAAATAAGGCTGAGCCCTAATGTTATAAAGATTAGAGGCCATCTCTGACTGGAGAGTAGGTATAGCTACAAAGCCATTGGTGATTTATTGGAAGCCTGTCTAGTGTGTAGTGAACCTAGGATACAATCTTAGATGACTTAATCTTTTGTCCCCTGTGAACTTTCTTGAATGTTTTCTAGATGGAAACACCGATCACAAGTTTTTAAGGGTTTTTTGTGTATGTGTATTTGTGTTTCATTTTTAAACTAAGCAGACATTCATAAACATGTATTTTAAAGTTGTCACTCTAGAGGCGTTCTGCTT